ATTTTTTTATTCCATTTTTATTTTATAAATATATATTTTTTTCATTTAATTTAATTTATAGTTATTTATTTTATTTTGTAAATGTAGTTTTCATTTTATTTAATTGTATTTATTTGTTATTTTCAAATGTAGTTTTAATTGAATTTCATTTATTAGAAATTATGTGGCTCAGTGGTTTAGCACTGTCGCCTCACAGCAAGAAGTTTTCTGGGTCAGTTGGCATTTCGTTGTGGAGTTTGCATGTTCTCCCCGTGTTGGTGTGGGTTTCCCCCGGGTGCTCCAGTTTCCTCTACAGTCCAAAGACATGCAGTATAGGTGAATTGGATGAACCTGGATGAATGTGAGAGTGTATGGGTGTTTCTCAGTACTGAGTTGTGTCTGGAAGAGCATCTGCTGTGTAAAACATTTGCTGAATTAGTTGTCAGTTCATTCCACTGTGGTGGCCCTTGATAAATCAGAGACTAAGCCCAAGGAAAATAAATGAAAGGATTTAAGGTTAAGTTTGGATTCTTCATTAGTTTTAGTTTTTATTTCATTTTGACTTTGTGTTTTCAAATTCAGTTTGTTTTATACAGTTTTTGTTTCTATATTTTGAATTTGCTTAGTTTTAGTTTAGTTTTTATTAGTTTCAGCATTCGTTTTATTTATTTATTTTTTTAATAAATTTAAATATTTGTCGTGTGCAGGTACAAAGTCTTCAGAATATTGTAAAATAATAACTCAACCAAAGATGCATTTTTGAAACTTGTATTCAGAGGACACATGAACACTACCATCTGCCCAACCTCAAATTCAAATACAATAGCATAGTAGTTTAATAATAATAGTACAAATACTTCGTTACTGCACTTAAGTAGATTTCTCTGGTATCAGTACTTTACTCCACTACTTATTTTTTTACAACTTTTTACTTTCACTCCTTACATTTTTACACAAATATCTGTACTTTTTGCTCCTTAATATCTTTTAATGCACGGTCATTACTTTCATTTTCATATTGTTTTAAATTTATTTTTATTTAATTCTATAAATATTGTTTCGATTGTATTCAATTTGGCTACTACTTATTTTATTTTATTGTATGAATATAATTTCCATGTAATTTTATTAAATTTTATTTAATCCACACAGTCTACAAACCATATAATTTATCCAGTACAATTAAATGACTTACCAGCTTTCTACTTAATTTAGTGTCAATTTAGTGGAATTAATTTTAATAAAATTTAATAAAAAATTTTTTTATTTTTTTAAATCATTTTTAAGTTAGAATTATTGTTTTTATTGATTTTTAATTTATGTATTTTATTGTTATTTATTTATTTTGATTTAATTATTGTTTTTTTTTATTTTATAAATTATTTTATTTTATTTAATCCAGGCAGTCTACAAACCATTCATCCAGTGCAATCTAATGACTTCCCAGCATTCAGTTTAATAGAAATTAAATTTTATTTAATTTTATTTTTAAATTAAATTAAATTAAATTTTAATTTAATTTTATTATACTTTAAAAATATTATTTTAATTTTTTTAGATTTAATTTGATTTTATTGTTATGTATTTATTTAATAAATATACCTTTTAAGGTAATTTTATTTTATAAATAGTTACATTTTATTTAATCCATGCAGTGTGGTGACGCAAACTATATTATTTCACAGTTTTGATGCAGTCAGTCTACGTATCTGCATGCGGCACTACGCGGCCTTTTCAAGGCTATCGCCCACCGTACGTGGGCTAGTTTATGAAGATTACTATGATAAAGGCAATCAAATCAAATCAAATCACTTTTATTGTCACATCAGCAGCAGCACGTGTGCTATGATGAGTGAAAAGCTTAGGTGCTGGCTCCAGACAGTACAAAATACAGATCACAGATACAACGACAGTGCGAAATACAACAGCATACTCCCGAAAAAAAAAACGATATGTACAATGACAGGGATGACTATGCAGCTGTGACAGAGGAAGTCGGCTAATTTAACATGACTGATGCTGTCCTGTTTACACAGTAATATGACACCTTTTGCTTGTTCGGATCACAGGTAGACAAGAGAGACACATTCCAGTTCAAAAACAGGCCGCTTAAATGCTTAAGCCTTTTGTCCACTTCTGATCATACTGCACGTGCTTTCTCTGGTCTTTCAATCTAATACCGCGAAAAATAATGTTTTTTTTTTCTGTCAAGATTTGTACATTTAGTACTAAAACAATCAAATACTTTATAAAAAATGAATGCATTGTGGTTTATTTCCTTTATTTCCGATGAGTTCATGTTTCCAAATACAGAATGTATGCTGTTTAACAGTTTTTATTTATTTTTATTGACTGTATAGTTACACCTTTAGACCTATTTTTTAACAAATATTTTACAACAACAAATATAAGTATACTGGGCAATTTATAAATAAAAATATAATTATTCCAGCATATGTTTTACACAGCGGTTACCCTTCTATCTGCAACCCAGTACTAGGAAACACCCATCACACACACACTTACACTACTGCCAGTTTAGATGATTTATTAATCACCTATAGCGCTTGTCTTTGGACTGTGATTGAAACAGGGACTTTTTACGTTTTTTTTTACTTTACTACATTTTTGAGGCTGTACTTCTTTACTTTTATCTAAGTATAAAAGTGTTATCAGTACTTCTACTTTTAGAAAGGAGGAAAAAAATGAATATATTGAAGCAAGAGCGCAAAGATTTGATTACTAGCCAACCCAACACCGGGCCAATAAACACGAGCACATTCACCCCCTGCCTAATGCACGCTTTCATCTCAAAAGGACTCGGGAGAGAAAGAGATGCTCTTTCTGCTGTCACATTGTAAGAAAAATAAATAAATAAAAAATTCGAATGTATTTTTTTGTCTAGGACAGTGTGCGTGTTTTTTTTTTCAGCTCTATCTTACGTGGAAATGTGCACTGTCAAATTTTTTTTTGTAAATGACACAGTATTTAACTGTAATATGACTTGTATTTTACTGTAGGACAGTTATGCGGTATGTTGCTGTATCTTAAAGTTGTGAAAATTACTGTATATTTTACTGCAAAGATATATAGCTAGATAAATGATGCTGTGTATGTTTGCTGTAATTGATTTACGGTGAGTTACTGTTGAACTGCTGCCAATAAGTTACTGACTCTGGAGAGAAAGCATTTCTTGTCTAGGACTGTATTTTTTTCAGCCCGATCTCACATGAAAATGTAAGCTGTTGATGATTTTTTTGTAAATTACACAGTATTTAACTGTACTAAGATCTGTATTTAAAAATAGGCCAGTTATGCGGTATGTTACTTTATGTTAGTTGTATTGTGAAAATTACAGTATGTTACATTAAAGTTATACAAAACTGTAAATACATATGCACCAAGATAAATGGTGCTGTAAATGTAAATACAGTATTCTTGCTGTAATTGATTTACTGTAAGTTACTGGTGAACTCCTGCCAATAAGTTACTGACTCGGGAAAGAAAAAAAATGCTCTTTCTGCTGCCAAATTGAAAAAAAAAAAAAAAAAAAAAAAAATATATATATATATATAATGTATTTCTTGTCTAGGACAGTGTGTGATTTGTTTTCCCAGTCCTATATCATGTGGAAATGCACACTGTTAAAGGTCTTTGTTATTGGCACTGTACAGTATTTAACTGAAATAAGAACTGTATTTTACTATAGGACAGTTATGCGGTATGTTACTGTATTTTAAAGTTGTGAAATTACTGTATATTTTACAGTAAAGATATATAGCAAGATAAATGGTTTCTGTGTGTAATTAAAATACAGTATTTTTTGCTGTAATTGATTTACAGTAAGTTTCTGGTGGACTTCTGCCAATAAGTTACTGACTCTGGGGAGAAAGTATTTCTTGTTTAGGACAGTTATTTTTTCAGCCCGATCTCACGGTAAAATGTTCACTGTTGACAATTTTTTTGTAAATTCCACAGTATTTAACTGTACTACGATCTGTACCAGTAAGACACTTATGCGGTATGTTACTGTATTTTAGAGTTGCATTGTGAAAATTTCTGTATATGTTAAAGTAAAGATATACAAAACTGTAAAACTTGTCTAGGACAGTGTGTGTGTGTGAGTGTGTTTTGTTTTTCCCAGTCCTATCTCATGTCGAAATGTACCATGTTAATGGTTTTTATTATTGGCAGTGGCACAGTATTTAACTGTAAATTAAAGTTGTGAAGATTACTGTATATTTTACAGTAAAGATATACAGCGAGATAAATGGTGCTGTATGTAATGTATATACAGTATTTTAGCTGTAATCGATTTACAGCAAGTTACCGGTAAACTGCTGCCAATAATTTACTGACTGAAGAGAAAGATGCTCTTTCTGCTGTCAAATTGTAAAAAAGAATTGTAATGTATTTCTTGTTTAGGACAGTTTAGGACAGTATTTTACTGTATTTTCAAAAGTTTTCAAAGTTGTGAAGATTACTGTATATGTTACAGTAAAGATATACAAAACTGCAAATACAAATACAACATGATAAATGGTTCAGTGAATGTAAATACAGTATGTTTGCTGTAATTGATTTACAGTAATTTACTGGTGGACTGCTGCCTGTAGATTCTATAGGAAATATTTAACAGTCTGACTGTTTTACATTTTGTCAGAAAAGTGGATAATTCGATTTCATTTGTTTAAAAAACTATGATTTTCAAAAGGAGTTATGTCCCCAAAACCCCACCCTTAACCCTACTTCCTATTGAGGGATGAGCAAATTATGCTAAAATATTCATATGAGATCATTAGGGTTGGCTATCAAAGAATTGGTTCCATTTTAGAACCGGTTCCGGGTACTTGATAAGATGCGTGCATCTATCCTTTGTCATATTCCATCTTGATAATCTTTCCTAAACCAAAAGTTACAGATTGTCATGAGCTTGATTTTGTATTATTATTTTATTAAAGGTGCCTCTTTGAAGGCATTGTTGCACTAAAATAACAATGGTCATTTTGCTGTTTTCACAGACCGAGTTACCACAGTGAAGACCGACATCTACGTCACCAGTTTCGGCCCTGTTTCAGACACTGATATGGTAATCTGAATTCCTTTTCTATGGATTTATTTGTCACAGACGGACTGAAAGCATCCCTTCGCAGTCATTCTCATTTGCATCATGGCTCAACACTTTCACAGCTTTTTCGAGCCAAGAACCACCTACCCAGACAAAAAGAGACAACAGCAGACTGTTTACCTGCAGAAGGGATCTTGTGAATCTGAAATATTTACAGTACAAGATTGTCTACAGTACAAGAATGAGTAACTTTGTCTTTGAAGCTCAGTAGGGATGCATTAGTTTGATCACAAATACAAAAAAATCAACATTTTCTTTTTAATTATGTCATTTTATATTGTAGTTTATGGTACAATGTAATTTATTGCTCCAATTTCCAGCAGTATTGGTACAGTGTCCACTTACAGTATAGCAGCACTATGCTTTCTAATAGGAAAGGTTTCAATTTTTGTTAAAGTGTTATAAGCCATGATTCAGGAAATTAATCAGCCATTATTTGAAGCAAGGAAGTTCATAAATTCAACTGAAAAGACAAAAGTGAAAACAGCTTTACTGAGGGAGAGGTCAACAATCGCATGAAGCAATGCTAATAACACAGACTGAACATGACTGATTTAAAAAGACATATTTAAGAAAGTACAGATAAATTAATAAAGAAGGCACAGTATAAATAAAAATATATAAATAAATAAATTAATTAATATAAAATAATACAATAATATATATATATATATATAACGAGAGAGATTTTACCATACTTTATTAAATCGTCTTACAAAACCCAAAAACGAAAAAAAGAATTTACCATATACATATTACAACATCAAATTGAAAATTAAATTTTCCTCCACAACAGTACATAGAACATTGTTAAAACACCACTGCAACATAAACATATCCAAATCATTCATACCCTTGTAATATTTAAATTCAAACAGAATCCTTGATTTAACAAGAGTTTTAAAAGACAAAATGACGTCTTGACCATGTGAATTATTTATCTTACTTTTTCTTGACATATAGATTGCCATTTTCGCCTGTCCCACCACAAAGTTAATTAATTGCCATTTAAATCTTTGACTATAATTATAACCTACCCCCTAAATGAAGGCAGTAGGTGTAAAAGATTCTCCAAAACCTAAAAATAAGTGCTCCAACAACACAAACAGTGACTGCAATCTATTACACTCTAAAAAACAATGAAAAATAGTCTCTCTTAAACCACAAAAAGCACAACTGTCATTGATGTTAGGATTAATAACAGATACAAAAGCATTGACAGCAATAACACCTTTTAAAATTCTCCATTGTAAGTCACCTGATTTTTTAACCAATGGTGGTTTGTATAATACCCTCCACACCGGTTTAACTTCATCACCCAAATTAAGTTTTGTCCTCCAGACATTGTCAGATTTATTACATAACACTGTTCTATACATGATTTTGACAAAACATTTATACATCTTTTTCCCATTCAAATCACCAAAGTCTAAAAACTGTAACCCATCTAAATTCAATAAGAAGCCCAACTTATCTTTCAAATCAGGTGTTATCCAGTGTTTGGGATAGGGATCTCTCAGATCTGGAGTTAAGCGTCCTTCCTCAAAGTCTTTTAAAAGCACAAGTTCCTCAGTTGTTAATTTTTTCTTCCATAGTTCCATAATCATTGCAGTGTAACGGAGCGACCTCTGACCCAACATAGAGGCCACTGCAGTTATGTCTTTCAAATCAGCACCCGCAATATTTACTAGGTGTCCCAACTTTACAGTCTTAGTGATGCACAGTCTCTGAAAAAGATTTGGTACTTGATCTGTAATGTCCAGCCGAGCTCCCTTTACCAAAGGTTCTTCCAATAGCCAGAATAGTGAGGCTGCAGAATCTGACCTTTTAATTTTAAATGAACCCCAGGCCTTAAACAGTTTTTGATAGAAAAAAGGTAATCCATTCAGGTGCAATTTGCCATGATCCATAAAAAACAAAGTCATGTCCAGTCCGAGACAGTCAACTCTTTGAAGAATAGCCTTAGTCACATTCCTCCACACCAAATCTACCGGGCCTGTTAAGAGTCTCTGAACAAACTGTAATCTAAAAGTGGCATGTCTGCTCACTAGGGATACCAGTCCTTGTCCACCCTCTTCTAAAGGCAAATAAAGTTCACTTTGAGGCACCCAGTGCATTCTATCCCAGAAAAAATTAACTAATTTGGCTTGTAGAAATAACAGCAACCCTGAGGGAGGTTCCGTACAAAAAAGCCTATGCCACAAAGTTGAAGCTATAAGATTGTTAATAATTAGTACTCTACCTCTAAAAGATAACTGGGGGTGAATCCATCTCCATTTTTTTAATTTTCCTTCTATTTTTTCTATTATTCCATCCCAGTTTTTTTGTTGCATAGTGCTCTCTCCAAGATATACTCCCAGGTATTTAAGACCTCCCTTCTTCCAAATCAGCCCACCAGGTAAAATTGGAGTACCATTGTTCCATTTGCCATTAATTAAAGCATCACTTTTACCCCAATTAACTCTGGCTGCAGAAAGTTTGTCAAATTCACTAATAATGGACACTAAAGTATTTACATCCTTTTGACCATTAACAAAAACTATAACATCATCCGCATAAGCTGATAATTGATGTTGAACACTTTTATTGGCAAGCATAAAACCTTCAATTCTAGAACGTAGCTTTCTTAACATTGGCTCAATGGCCAAGGAATATAACATTCCAGACAGGGCACAGCCTTGCCTTATACCTCTATTTATTTTAAAAGGGGCACTCAAACCACCATTGATTTTCAATACGCTTTCAATGTCTTGATACAACACTTTAATCATTCCAATAAAACCTGATCCAAAACCAAAAGCCTCAAGAGTATTCCAAAGGTACTGATGCTCCACACGATCAAATGCTTTTTCCTGATCAATTGAAATTAAACCCAAATCAAGATTAAAATAACTAGACAGATCTAGAATGTCTCTAACAAGACTAATATTATCCATAATAGACCTGCCAGGCACACAATAAGTTTGGTCAGGATGGATAATATGCCCTATCACATTTTTTAATCTATTGGCCAATGTTTTAGAGAGAATTTTAAAATCTGAACAAAGTAGACTCACTGGTCGCCAGTTCTTTATTTCCTGTAAATCACCTTTTTTAGGCAACAGGGTCACCACTGCCCTCCTACAACTCAGAGGGATTGAGCCCTCAGTCAAACTCTCATTAAGAACAGCCAAAAAATCTTCTCCCAATACGTCCCAAAAGATTTTATAAAACTCGATAGGGAGGCCATCAATACCTGGAGCCTTACTAGGTTGCATGGCTTTTAAAGCTGTTAAAAGTTCAAGTTCAGAGAGAGGCCTTTCAATCTTTTCCTTATACTCCTGTGATATGTTAGGCAAGTTTTCATAAAAACTGGCAGACAGATTTTCATCCTCTTTATATTCACTCCTGTACAAATCCACATAGAATTGTACAGCCCTTCTCCTTATCTCAGCAGGATCTATCAGTACCTGCCCACTTTCAGCACGTAAAGAATGAATGAGACGACTTTGGCCATTTTTTCTTTCTAGACCAAAAAAGAATTTAGATGGGGCATCCATTTGCGTAAGCACCTGAAACCGAGACCTAACCAAAGCTCCTTGTGTTTTTATAGCCAGCAGGTCTGAGAAAGCGGACTTTTTTCTTTTAAGAGCATCAATACATTTTTTATCTCCAGTGGTTTCAACCAAATACTGTAAATTAATAATTTCAGATTCAAATGTTTTCATTGAACGTGCAATGTCTCGAGAAACATTGAAAGCGTATTGTTGACATAACATTTTTATTTCTACTTTTCCACAATCCCACCACTGTCGTAGATTTTTAAAATAACTCTTTCTTAATTTAAAATTCTCCCAGAATTTACAAAACACATCTTTAAAGTTAGCATCACCCAACAAAGAAGTATTAAATTGCCAATATGCACTCATTACTTTAATATTTGCTATTAGACATGTACATAAAACAATAGAATGATCCGAAAAACCAACTGGAGCAATTGAGCAATCTCTTATAATATTTAACTGATAACTAAAACAATAAAACCTATCAAGCCTGGCTAATGAAAGAACGTTATCTCTAACATGTGTCCATGTATACTGTTTATTAGAGCCATTCATCTCTCTCCATACATCACATAAGCTATGAGCTTCAATCAGTTCACCCATAGTACGCCCAGAAGTGGTATGAGGTTCCAAGTGGTTTCTATCTAATACATCATTTTCCGTACAGTTAAAATCACCCCCTAAAAAAAGATAATCATCTGAGCTACAGTTTTGTAAAAACCCAAAAGCATTGTTAAGAAAAAGGACTCTTTCAGTGCCAATAACAGGAGCATATAAATTCAAAAAGACAAAATTAAATTTTTCAAATTTTGCCTGTATAGCTAAAAACCGACCAGGAATTTCTTGTTTAATATCACATGAAACAGGCAAAAAATTCCTTGAAAAAAGAATGGCTACTCCACCTTGAACATTGTTTAGGTGTGAAAAATATATTTCCCCCTGCCATTCTCTCCTCCAATCAATCTCATTCAAACTATCACTATGTGTTTCTTGAACGAGCATTACATCAATATTCTTTTGACTTATTAAATCAAATAGCAATGCTCTTTTCTGAATAGACCTAGCACCATTCAGATTGAGAGTTCCTATTCTTATTGCACTCATTAAATTATTTATTTCGAAAAGACACACAAAGAAAAAACATAAATAAAGAAAAAAAGATTTAAGTAGTCTCAAAACCATCTTTGCTTCTTAGTTCCAGCTTCACTTTAGAAACAAATTTCTTCAATCTATACACCTCCTGTGCAGTGAATTGCTTGTCATCCTTACTTCTCATTAAACTAACGACTGAGTCAACAAATGCTCTTTGGTCAGGAAAATAATCTACCACCTGAACATTCTTCATATTCTTTGTTTTCTGCAAAAAAAGTCTCACTCTCTCAAATGTATACACATTTCTCCATTTAGTAGGGCTCACAG